GAAAGAGTAAAAACCTTATGGTGTTTTGTCTGTTGTGTAGATTGGGTGCCTTGCATTGTAGTCACCAAGTGAGCATAATTACAATATCTATGACATGTACAATAAAAGTCATTACATGCTTTGTGTAGATGAATCTGTGCAATGGACTAGCTTGTATCTATGGCAACTGGGTTGCAATATCATCCACTACTTTCTGAAACAGGCTACCTCTAGGGGAAGCCTATCAGATGACGAGACTCTTACTTTGGCGGTCTTTTGATACACACATAGAAATGTCCATCAGTTTCCCACCCCAAGTTCCTCCGTAAACCAGTTATATATGTGCATACACAGTTACACATACACAAACGATGCTACAAAAATAAAATGCACACACTGTTACACATATACACAATCATACACTTATAAACACACGGTTACATATAATCACTTATATTATTATTATTATTATTATTATTATTATTATTATTATTATTGCTATTTATATAGCGCCAACAGATTTAGTGGCACTTTACACTATTATAAGAGGTGGGATTTAACTATAAATAGGACAATTACAAGAAAACTTAAAGAAAGAAGACCCTGCTCAAAATTATACATTCAGAAACATACCAAATGTTACACATACTCACAGATAAACATCCTCACTGTTACACATACACACACTAATACACATACATGCAGTAAAATACTTCAGATACACAATGATACAACTTTAAACAAACGGTTACAAATTTAAACACACAGACATTGAAAAATACATTGAGTCAATAGTAAAAAGCACAACAATATCAGTAAAAGTCAATGGGGGGGGGGGCACTCTTCAGAAGTGTAAGTATTCTTAAACTGTCCCAGTATAAATAGGTGGCTAACATCCGCTAGTTAGAATGCAGTATGTCTCATTGATTGGGGGCATGCTGGTTCATTTCCTTGATTCTTTCGAGTAGCGTGCATTATCCGGAAGTGACTCGGTGCAATTCGTATCACTTTTCAGTGTCCGCATTGTATTATGAGGCTTATAGTCTGGTCTCCATTCTGCGCCATGGGAAGTGATGTCTTTGTACTCTGCATCACAGGAATCTCACTCAAATTGTGAGAAAGTATACATATCTCTCTCTCTCTCTCTCTCTCTCTCTCTCTCTCTATATATATATATGTACTGCACTATAAGAGTTACACATGTATCTAACTATAAAAATGAGAAAAGTAGTAGTTAGTGTCAATAGGTTTTACAATTCTTTTTGTGAATGCCTCATTAATTTAATTGATTTGATACCATCAAATTGTAGGCATTACACATATGTTAACCCTTAAGGAACGCACGCATTCTATGCCGTCCTTTTTAGGGTGGCTCTAAATGCCGGAGGGCGGCATAGAACACCAGGTCACTTACCGGGTCCCCACTGATCCCACACCGGCGGTCGTGATCCTGGGGTCTGCCTGGGAGCTCAGGCAGACCCTCATTGCCCGATCCGGCCCTCCCAGGCCATGTGATCACAGGGTCCTCGTGATCACATGCCCGGAATAGCCGGCTTACGCAGTGCATGCAGGGGGATTGCCTGAATTCTCTGGCTGTTCCCGTCATGCCTGTAAAAATGTTTTAAAAAGTTAGGTAAAGTTATCAAACAGTTTTAAATAAAATAATAAGTACTTAGATCATATATATATGAAAATATATATATGTGATCTAAGTACTTTTATATACACATACATACATCATTATGAAAAGTGTATTTTAATATTAATATATATATAATTATTAATATTAAAATACACTTAGAATGACGTTAATTATATATACATATAATTATAATTATATATATATATATATATATATACATATATATATATATAAAATAATGAATAAATACATTTAACACAATGAAAAATAATAATAAAAAAAAATTATATACCTGTTTAAATTCGTTCTAACTGTATTTTGATATTAATATACATATATATTTCAATCAAGATGCATTTAGAATGACAAATACAAATATGTCTCTATATCTATATATCTATATATATATATAGATGTAAAAAAAACTGATACAATTCGTACCTTGTAATGCCTTCTTTACTGGACTAACAGAATTTTTCAATGACAAACTTTCGGGAGAACCTCCCTTTCTCAAGTCTAAAGCATTTCTGAGCAAGACGACACATATAACTCAAAGTTGAGTTGTAATACAGGGGTTAAAGCGACATGAGTGCAGATAAGACACAGGTTTGATAGAAAATAGACACCATTCTCACAGAGGGTCATACATATCTTGTGTGAAGATAACAGGCTGAAGGGGAAGAGAGAGGAAAAAAAAAACCAAGCAAACAGTGCAGAAGATGGTGCTAGAAGGGGAGAGTAAAAACAAAATGATTAATTATATTAGGAATGCATAAATTCCCATCCAAGAGTTACATGATATGCATGGAGGCCTATATCCAGCATACACAGACACACACATACACTCACACTCACATACATGTACATATACACAGATAAATTTATGATATGTAAGTATTATGTTTAACAAATGTAGCCAATGTTAAACATAATATTTACATATCATAAATTGATCTCACAATCTGAACATAAAGATCTGTGAGGTGATAATTAGACCACACTAGTGGTTCTGGCAATACTCGTTTGAAGGTATTCATAGGGCAATACAAAAGGCTATATATTGAAGATGTCACATGGGAGAGGTGAGATGAATACAAAAATGCAAAGCTAAGGTACACAGGGTAAAGAGCTCTGATTCCCCACATAGGATAAACTGCATGGGTATTGTAGTCTGTCATACAAGTCAGTCTGTGTTTGATGGAATATTTATTTCCAGTGAATTTACCTGGTACCATGTGGCTGCATATTACATAGTCCAAGCAACAAAAACAGTGTTGTTTGTTGTTTCTCTCTTAGTATAACAGTGTATTGGGTCCGTTTTTACCAAGTAGTAACGTAGGTTTTTTCCTCTCTTGAAGCACAACATGGGAGGGTTGTGAAAGATCTTAGGTATGCTGTGTTAAATGCTGTGTTAAAGGTGGTAGGAAATACCAAGCGTTGTGTCACTTCTTTCGTCTGGAGGTTGTTTGGCTTTTAGTTAGTGCTTGTTGCAGTGTGGATCCCTTACATCTCCTATGTTTGAATTTATTCCACATTTTTTAAATTTGTTCTTGACCTTTGTGTGGTTATGAGTTGTTTCGTAAAGCCCTCATGAATTATGATAG